ATCAGACCATCCTGTCCTGTGCTGCTCCATGGTGTCTGTGTGTTGATCTCCTGACACTGTATGTCTGCCACCATGCTCATGTCACCGCCACACAGGTTAAAGTGATCATCATGAACAAGCACATTGAGGTATTCAAAGTCTCCATCCGAGCTGTCGGCCGGGTTGGGTTTGTGAGAGCTGATCCAGGTGGTCCAGCCTTCAACACACACCTGGGGAGCTTTAAGGAAAGTAATATGGTATGGTTAAGTTTGACAATGTTACAGTACTTTCGAAAGGAAATAATTCAGGAATAGTCCGAAAATGATTCATATCTATGTTAAAGGATCATTAGAAGCAAAGAAAAGCTATTCTGCTTTCCTGCAAGTCAGTAAGCAAGGTAGTCTTGCATATTGACTTGCAATGAGATTTAAGTGGTTGTCTCACCAGTTGTAGTGGTCTTGCCAGTAGTGGTGGTCTCAGCAGTGCTTGTGGTGGCTGCTGTTGTTGAGGCTGTTCCACTGGTCGTCGCCTGATCAGTAGGCAGTCCAGGAGGATTTTCTGGAATAGGCTGTGTGAAGAGGAATGCAGGGTAACATTGTATCATAGGAAAGTAAGCATATGCACAAAATTGCATGAGGAATCGTGTCCTTTGTATGAATAGATTTGGGAGAAAAAAATTGTCAGCAGGCCGTGTGTCTAGTTACGGGACGTACCGTGGTTCCTATTGGTTTTCCAGTAGTAACAGGTGGTTTTGTGTTGCCAGGACTGCTCCCTGTGGTGGTACTGGTGCCTGTTGTTGGACTAACCCCGCTTGTGGTTGTTACACCGGTAGTGGTCGTTTCCACTGTGCTGGTGGTCTGCTGGGTTGTGGTTTCTCCACCTTAAGAGACGGAATAATGTAGAATATTGTTCCCACTGGACAAATGACTAAGAGTTTGTCTTCTTTCGATTGAAAATCACAAATAAGCACAAACACACTACATATTAGATATCATACAGCCCTTAACTTATTTATTTCAAATGCGAAACAACACATTACACAGACTTACAGGCAGCAAAAGCTGATGAACGTAAGTCTACATAAAGCCCTTAACTGCAGGGATTTTTGTACGTTTGTCCCCTCTACTTACTATATTAATGTGGCAATGTGTTCATGTGGTTAGTTTTGTTGACGTAGAATCTAAAGGTACTGGGTTCGAATCCCTGGCAGGCCCTATTGTTGTGTCTTTGGGAAAGGCTCTTAGCACATATTTATTCACCTGACTCAGGTGTAATTGTGTACCTTACTTTGGATAGGACGTAAAGCCGGAGGTCCCATGTTTGAGGAGAGCCATACCTCGAACACGTTAAAGATGCACAGTTATTGAAAAGAGAAGGGGTCTTCTCAATGTGAGTGGTTCAAACCTTACCTTCTGGTTTCAGGTTTGACATATTGATATGATATGACACGATAATTGCCTGTTCCGTCAATCCTCCACAAATCTGGTTAATCTTCATAAAGCAAAACAAAAGAGAAATATATTGAGTAGCCATATACTTACAGTGGCAGAACACACTGATCTCGTAATCCAGACATCCCTCTGGCTGGTTCATGGAGTTGCTACAGGAGAAGCCAGTCTGTGTGTCACAGATCAGACCATCCTGTCCTGTGCTGTCCCATGGTGTCTGTGTGTTGATCTCCTGACACTGTATGTCTGCCACCATGCTCATGTCACCGCCACACAGGTTAAAGTGATCATCATGAACAAGCGCATTGAGGTATTCAAAGTCTCCATCCGAGCTGTCGGCCGGGTTGGGTTTGTGAGAGCTGATCCAGGTGGTCCAGCCTTCAACACACACCTGGGGAGCTTTAAGGAAAGTAATATGGTATGGTTAACTTTGACAAACTTTGTAAGGAAATTCAGAAATAGTCGAAAGTGATCCAAATCTATGTTCAAGGATCATTAGAAGCGAAGAAACAGTTCTGTTTTGTTGCAAGTGAAGAAGAGAAAGCTATCCCGTTGCATATTGTATCGGACTTTGCTGCTTGTAAATAATTGTTATTGTAGCTTCTGCTTATAAATTGATGCATGAGATAAAGCAAGCAAGACAAGCATGGCAGCTTAGACAAAACTATCCCAGCAAGAAGTACAGTTGAATATACACAATAATCATTAACAAGTGGTTACAACGTACCTGCAGTTGTCGCACCGGTTGTTGTTGTAGTTGTCTCCCCAGTTGTTGTTGTCCGCCCGGTTGTGGTTGCAATGCCTGTGGTTGTAGCAGTCTGTGAGCCAGTTGTGGTTGGAGAAACTGTGCTGGTGGTCTGCTGAGATGTGGTTTCTCCACCTTAATAGATGAAGTGAAGTAGAATAGTTTAGTCATACAGGACAAATGATCGAGAGTACTAGTTGATCTTTCGGTCGAAAGAAGCACAAATGTATAGAAACATACAGCCGTTAACTGCAGTTTTTGTAACTTTGTCCCCGACTGTATTATGGTTTTCTTGTAGTTAGAACTGTTGACTTAGTAACAGGGCAGTTCACTTGAGTACCTAATATATACTTACAGTGGCAGAACACGCTGATCTCGTAATCCAGACATCCCTCTGGCTGGTTCATGGAGTTGCTACAGGAGAAGCCAGTCTGTGTGTCACAGGTCAGACCATCCTGTCCTGTACTGCTCCATGGTGTCTGTGTGTTGATCTCCTGACACTGTATGTCTGCCACCATGCTCATGTCACCGCCACACAGGTTAAAGTGATCATCATGAACAAGCGCGTTGAGGTATTCAAAGTCTCCATCCGAGCTGTCGGCCGGGTTGGGTTTGTGAGAGCTGATCCAGGTGGTCCAGCCGTCCACACACACCTGGGGAGCTTTAAGGAAAGTAATATGGCATGATTAAGTTCGGCAATGTATAGCAACGTTGTACGGAAATTTAGACATAGCATGAAAATGGTCCAAATCTATGTTCAAGGATCATTGCAAGCAAAGAAACAGTCCCATTTTGCAAAGAAACAGTCAATAAGCAACAAAGTATTGTCACGAGGAGAAAGTTACCCCCGGTATATTGTATCGAACTTAGCTGCTTGTAAAGTAATTATTGTTATTATGTAGTTTCTGCTTATGAATGGATGCATGGGATGAGACAAGTAAGTGTCGTCTGAAATACAAGCATGGCTGATTAAACAAAACTATCAGAAGTACAGTTGAATATACAGTATCGTTTACATCGTACCTGCAGTTGTCGCACCAGTCGTTGTTGTAGTTGTCTCCCCAGTTGTTGTTGTCCGCCCGGTTGTGGTTGCAATGCCTGTGGTTGTAGCAGTCTGTGAGCCAGTTGTGGTTGGAGAAATTGTGCTGGTGGTCTGATGAGTTGTGGTTTCTTAAAAGTTGAAATGGTTTTCGGTTGGTTTTGTATAGCAAATTATTGTCAGAAAATCATTGGCAACAATACTACATGTTTGTCCTTTCTACATACTGAAATAAGTCATTACATACCTGGCCCACATTCGCAGAAGAAGCGGACTTCGTAGTCATAGCAGGCCTGTTGGTCTGAGTTGACGCAGATCAGTCCTATCTGTGCATCACAGACCACCTTCTGCCCTGCATCCTCGGGAGAATCGTGCAGGCTGATCACGCGGCAATCTATGGCAGTGATCATGTTGTTCTCGCAGAAGGAGTACTTTGTTCGCAGAATCTCAATGGTGTCGATGTCACCCAGGCCATTTCCAGGATGGCCGACACTCATCCACTGGGTCCAGAAGTCACGGTCTGTTCAAAGTAAACTCAGTAAGACATCGCATGAAAGTTCATCTTGGAAGAGGTTATCATGTTGGACACGGAACCTGACTATTTTGCGAGAGGAATGAAGGAAGCCATTTACATCAGGGCATATCAAGCATCGCTCAACCGGGACGGCGGGTGGTACCGACTTCCGACGAACTTTGACCCAGTGCTGACGTCACACGTGGAAAAACAAAAGTCTACAGCATTTGGATCAGAAAACTGATGAAAACCGAGCGATTCGGTAGAAAATTCCGGTGAGTCAATGTTCATGTCGGAGAACAGTTTAATTATCAGTATCATTAAGGTATAGTTTTTACTCGGTTCAAATGACAAAAACCCATTTTTGTCACAACAATCCAACCAAGTTTACTACACTATATCAAAATTCACAACTGCTTAAAGTGATTGATACCTGGATATTCGCACAGTGGAGGCAGGGTCTGCGGTGTGGTGGGAATGGTAGTACCAGGTGAGGTAGTCTGATGCGCTGCGGTTGTCATTGGTGGTTGGTGAGGCTTCGTTGTCGTCGTCTGGGTAGTTGGTTTTAGAGTTGTCGTAGTGGAAGTGACAGTAGAAGTTGTCGAATGCGTAGTGGTCGGCACACCTGAAAACGAAGGCAATGAAAGAAAATGATGTTATTGTTTATAGAACTACAGTGTATGGTACATTGGTCTTGTTAATTCATCCACTGGTTCAACACAATGTGACAGACAGAAAACGAGAAAGGGACACTCACATTGACAAAGCACGCTGATCTCGTAGTCCTGACATCCGCCTGGATAGTTCATTGAGTTGCTACAGGAGAAGCCAGTCTGTGTGTCACAGATCAGACCCAACTGGCCTGTACTGCCCCATGGTGTCTGTGTGTTGATCTCCTGACACTGTATGTCTGCCACCATGCTCATGTCACCGCCACACAGGTTGAAATTATCATCGTGGGCGAGCAAACTGAGGTCCTCGATGTCTCCACCATGAATGTCATTGGGGTTGGGTTTGTGAGAACTGACCCATGTGGTCCAGCCGTCCACACACACCTTGTGAGCTGCAATGTAAAACCATAGCACATTATTTAACTATATCAATGATAGGAACGCATGTTGAGGAGAAGGATCTTGCAACATATAATTCACCAAAGACAGGATATGTTTTACTGTGAAGTGACTCATTTCAATATATTTAGCTCTCGTCTTTCGGAAAGCTAAATACTTACTTGTGCCTTCCGCGGTAGTCGTGGGAGGTGTCTTGGTGCCAGTAGTTGTGGCTGTCCCAGTTGTTGTAGTTTCCCCTGTCGTTGTGCCATGCTCAGTGCTGGTCGGCTTAGGAGTGGTAACTGTGCTGGTAGGTTTGGTTACCTCAGTTGTTGTGGTACCAGTAGCGGTGGTGGTAGGTTTCGACACGCCTGTTGTGGTGCTGATACCTGTGGTAGTTTGTTCGATGGTGCTTGTAGCTGTACCGGACAGTGTGGTTGATTCTGATGAAGAATGATTATAGACATGTTGTATGAATATGAGTAGAGTTGGAGACTTCTTATCTTTGACCTAGCATCAATATCTACATGTAAGCCAAATAGTTCAGCCTCAACTTGAATAAGTAGAAACTTAAGACTTACCAGGGCCACATTCACAGTAGAACTGGACCTGGTAATCCATGCAGCCCAGTATAGGGTTGTCTTCATTCAGGCAGATGAGACCGTGTGTTGTGTTACATGTCACGGCCTGTCCAATGGACGGGGCAGTGAACATGCCAGAGCCGAAGACCAGAGAACACTGCACGTCAGTGATCATGTCATTGGGACAGAAGCTGAAGTGCTCCCTGAAGTAGACAAAAACACGTCATCAAACACTTATTTAGCACATTGAAAGGAAATGGGAAAAAACCGTGATTGGGGAGGTTGTAAGAGTTACAGAGTTGCAAAATGTCGTATCCAGGTAGGATTCGATCGGAAACGTCAAGTAACTAACAAGATCCCGGTTAAGTTACTGGAGATTTTGTCCAGATATCTGCAATGTCTTTTATATGGCATTCTGGTGACAAACGTGTAACTTAAGTTTTGGAGTTTTGTTTACCAAGTTTCATCGTAACAAACAAGCAAAGACCCCCACACACACACGCTGACGCGCTTACCCACCTCAGGTTGTCAATGGTTTCAAACTCGCCACCATCGCTAGTATCGGTTGGAGTTCCTGAGCTCATGAAGGAGGTCCAGCCATTTCCATTTGGCACCGGACAGAGTTGGGGCTTGGTGCTGACTTCTAACTGGACAGGCTTCGTTTCCGAAGTTTCGGTAGTTGTAGTAGGAGGTGTCTTGGTACCAGTAGTTGTGGCTGTTCCAGTTGTTGTAGTTTCCCCTGTCGTTGTACCATGCTCAGTGCTGGTGGGCTTAGGGGTGGTAACTGTGCTTGTAGGTTTGGTCACCTCAGCTGTTGTAGTAGGAGGTGTCTTGGTGCCAGTAGTTGTGGCTGTTCCAGTTGTTGTGGTCTCCCCTGTCGTTGTGCCATGCTCAGTGCTGGTTGGCTTAGGAGTGGTAACCGTGCTGGTAGGTTTGGTTACCTCAGCTGTTGTGGTGCCAGCAACGGTGGTGGTGGGTTTCGACACGCCTGTTGTGGTGCTGATCCCAGTGGTAGTTTCTTCTGCAAAATATACAGGAATTGACAATGAACAAGGCGTTGGAAAGATCTTAACTGTTGTCACATACATGTAGTTCTTGGCTCACTGGATTTACATAATGCTGGAGTCTGAAGTTGTCTGTTACTGAACTGCAGTTGTCTTTCTTAATTATTGCAGTATCCACTGCTGTCATTATGTTGGAACGTCTATAATATAATCTTATCGAAGTGATTCAAAGAGTGTCATCTTTGTGGCATTATAAGGAAAATGAGTATTTTCTCTACCTCCGCAGGCACAGAAGACTCTGATTTCGTAATCATAGCACTTCTGTGCTAACTGCAAGTCGTCGATGCAGATGAGACCAGTCGTAACATCGCAGGTCACCTTCTGTCCAGTCTGATCAGCTGGTGTCCCAAAGCCGACCAATTGGCACTCCACCTGTGTGATCATGTTGTCCTCGCAGAAGACGTATTTCTGATGCAGCGCTTCCAGCGTATCGTAGTCGCCTCCGCCTCCGTTTGCTGGAGTGTCGACATTCATCCACGGTGTCCAGGCATCAGCGCCGGCAACAGGACACTCCATCGGCAGGCTGAAGGGCTTTGTGGTCGTGGAGGCTGTTGAAGTTGTGAACGTGGTTGTTGACGGTGGAGGCGGCTTTTCCGTGGTCGTGGCTGTTGTAGTTAACATTGTTGTTGTAGCCTTGGTAGTGGTTGTGGGCTCCTCGGAGGTGGCTGTAGTCGTTGTAAAGGCGGTCGTGGTAGGCTTCACCGTCGTTGTTACTTGCTGAGTTGTTGTAGGCAGCTCTAAAAACATTGTGCAATAATAAGACTAGTAAGCGTTCTATTGTTTGTATTGCTTGATGCACATTTATTTTTACATACAATTGGAGTCACAAGACTATATTGGATGACATTAATAGTTCCCAAACATGCATGGTGACAAAAACACTTACCATTATACTTTGGGTGAATGTTTATTGTCCAATTATTACCTGCCAACTATGAAAATATTAGACAGAGAATGTTTTCTGCTGTGTCATAGCTCATACCTCCGCAACTGCAGAAGAATCTGATGGCATAGTCGTAGCAGGCTGGGGGGAAGTCGGGCTGGTCCATGTTGTTGCATACCAGACCCACAGTTGTGTCACAGGTGACGACCTGGCCCGTGTGCTCCGCGTACAGGTTACTATGGCCGTTCACCTGAAGATGACAATGGCAAGTATTTAGCAGAACAACTAGAGCTTTATTTGAGCAATTTGCAGCTCAATGGTCTCAGATGAGAAGTGAGAATTTCCAGCAAATTGGTAACATTAACGTTAAGCATAACACGGACTTAATGAATCATTCATGAAATAACGTCACTTACTGTATCTAGTCATTTATTACCTCTATCTGAGAGATTGCTCTATTTGTTTTACTGCTGAATAGCCACATGCAGATTCTATACAATATTATTATCTGAGGTGGATAAAGTTCTGATGGTCCTGGACAGGATGCATTTATACTTTCACAGAAATCTTACCCACCTTACACTCCACAGAGACGATGTCGTCATCCTGACAGAAGACATACTTGTAACGCAGGTTTTCGATGGTTTCATAGTCTCCGCCAGTCATTGGGCTCGGGTATCCAACATTCATCCATTCGGTCCAGTAGTCGTAGGGCTGCACACACTCGGCGTCCAGGGCAACAGGTGCGGGTGTAGTGGTGGTTGGCTTTGGAGTGGTGGTAGTGGTCGGTCGCCTGCATTTTAGATAAGATAACATGAGAAACGTGCCACTTTCTTTCTTTCTTTCTCTTTATAACATATGAATGTTTTTCTTTCTTTCTTTTTTCTTTCTTTTCTTTATGAAATCCGTATTTATTGTTGGTATATAAGCCTTGATTGCTTGTCAACCTATATCTGACTAGACATTGGGACCATACAAGGGTTAGGTGTAACAAGTCGATCGGTGTAATATAGCCAGCTGCCGCCGCGCCGCGTGCTGGTGTGTTACGCCGAAAGGCGGTTATACCGGCTATACAGATACAGATACAGATACATTATAACAATATCCCAAATCTCAATTTTCCATCATTTTGTTTTAGCTATACCAGTCTTTCATGTAACATACAAACATTACTTCGGTTTTAGCTCAATTTTCAGATTATTTTTCGTTATTCTTCGTATTAATTAATTTTGTTTTTACGACAGTACATTGAAGATGTGGGTTTTATTGCTTTAAATGTACGAGAAGTAAGATGTGCTCACATAGTGGTAGTTGTCGGGACGGTGGCGGTTCCTGTGGTGATACTAGCCGTGGTTGTAGGCGGAAGTGGTGTGGTCTCCTCCTGGAAGCACTCTGTGTCCAGCACACAAGAGACGCCGTTCAGTCCCACAACCTATAATAGCATGGTAACAAGGTGGCATGTTCAAATGTTTCATCAGATGCTATGGTCTCAAGGCTGACTTGAATGGACAATATTGTCACCCCTATGTTGAACCCCTATGTCTGAATGGTCAAATCCGACTTATCCAGTCGAAATACTCTTTCACAACAACCAAAACCATTAGTCGTAACCACCACCTTCAGAACGGGGGTGTCCAGAGGGTATTCAAATATTTTATTTCGACACTCGAAAACACCGATACAATTACAAAAAACGGCGGACATCATCTGGACCCCAATGTAGATAATCATATACTTAGAACCAACGAAATCCGTTCAACCTACCGTGAGTTACATCTGCGAACACAAAAACGCTCAAAAGAAACAGAGACCACGGAGGTAAAAAAAAAAAAAACTTACAAATCCAGGCGGACAGGCGCAGCCCTCCACACATGTGTCGGTGCAGTTGGCGGCGATCTCGGAGTAGTTCTCCATGTTGTCACAGGTTTTGGGGCAGGAAGAACTGCAGGCCACGTACTGCATGCCGTACTCACACTGCATGGCTGTGCGGTAAAGGTATCAACTATCACTGACGGTTTGTTGTGCTTTTTGTACGGGGTTTTAGACATTTTCCTGGCGTCATTGACGTGCTAGTATATGGATGTTCTGGTTAGTTACAGAAGAACAAGACAGACATTTACAAGTAGCTTATAGAGCCACATGAATCCTAGAAACCCGAACATTGAGTTTAATACTTTGTACCATACTGAAATATTCTACGTCAGAGCAATGGCAGGGCATACAGAAGAAGAACTTTATTGCGCAACAGATGTAGCGGGTACAACGTATGGCAAAATGATACATACATAGTTTGTGGTGTTAACATACACATATGGTGTTGTTGAAAAAATCTAACAGTTCTACTAACTGTAATAGGAATCTGGTCTGCGTCATAAACAATGTATAACAAAAGAGAGACACTAATTATACTAATCTAATGTATAATGAAGTGTTGGTCAGTATTCATGTGCAGGCTGTGAGACTCCAACTTACGGCAAATCTCCTGTTCGCGCCATTTGATGGGTACACCGGCCAGGTTACACTCCTGTGCGTAGGCAGCGATGGCTGTACAGAGACACTCGCAGTCACCGCCACTGTCACAACCACACGCGTCGTACACGCACCTGCAGGGAAAAGATTGAGGGGGGGGGGCGTTAAATTTTTGGATACCTATTTTCAGTGTATGTACTAGCAGAATAGGAAATTCGCCGTGGAACATATTTTGCTGGTGAATTGATATATATCACATTGGTGTCATTACATAGAATTTAACATGTACAAAGACGGTTCTTGTGCAACCACAGCCCAGTAACATTTTTACTCCAAATGTTCCATCTCACGTATTCATCATATGATGTCCGTCTCCTCAGATATATACATGAGCAAGTATTTCTTGGCCGGCCACAGAAAGTAAATTTTATAGATGACATCCTCCGCAGACTGCAAATCTAATGCGATAGGGCGAAAAAAACAAGGAGGGCTAAGAAAACAAGATTCCTACATTTTCAAATTTTGACATCATCAACCATGATACCTATACTGTGCTATGTTTACTGCCTAAGTTTACTTACTATTACAACATCCTTTCTCTCTGAAACAACCAAAATAAAAGGTTTCAATCATTGTACAAGTGGTTTTGATTCAATGGGAACATCACATATTCACAGCCACCATCACATACAAAAGGGTACTCTCCAAGCAGAGGTTTGGGTTTTGGGGGTATTTTAGCATGTTTTTAGGCTTTTTTTTATCGGGGAAAAATTCAGTGCAAAAGAGAAAACCCAATAAAAAAAAGCCTAAAAACACGCTAAAAATACCCCCAAAACCCAAACCTCTGCTTGGAGAGTAACAAAAGGGATGAAATACATAGCTGCATCAAAGTAAAAGACAAAACATTAAATGAGAGCCTTGTCTTGTCCTGTCTCCTCTCGTCATATTTATCTGCCATCCACCTTGCGGCATGGCAACAGAGATCTTTGCCCGTTTTTGGCATGTTGTCCACTGTCAGAGGGCAAAATTATTATTTTTTCTAAAATTAGGCGAAAATTAACGCACGCGCTGATGCCATCCATAAAAATTACTTGCTGTGCCTTTAAAGAGGGTTGTTGAAAGTTAAGTGGTACCCACTTGTCGTAGTACGGCTGGTAAGGGACCTCGCTGTGGCAAGGCCTGAAGACGTCAGACTTGAGGATGGCACACTTCCGCAGGGCCCAGGCTTGTCTGTTCGGGTGGAGGGCGCAGGTGTCCTCTACGACCTGTTTATTTAAGATTGTAGGAGATAATCAATTAATGTTATGTTTAAAGTTAAAACTTGTTCCAGCCAAAAAAAGTTGTCACCTAGAGCTGTCGACCAGTCACTCATGATCAGGTCTTCCTCAGTAGACTGACACGGTTAGAATTGTGACTCAACTAGACTCTCTGAAGTGTGACGTCATCGCTGGGTATCTGGTAAACGATGTCGGCCCCCGTCGTGGTTGAGTCTTGTTCTATGCCCAGTATTCGTACAGTTTTCAGTGAAGCAGAACTACTGAAGAAGACCAGGGCGACTGGTCGAAAGGTCTAGGTGATAACAATTCTTTGTGTTGGAACAAAAGTTTTAACTGTGAACACGTAACTACCAACATAGATTAACTTTCATGACATTTAATATCATAATGATGTTAAACACCGGACGGCTCTATAGACTCACGAGACTGACAACAACAATCAACAAGTACAAAGTTACATCAAGCTACTGACTTGTTGAAACCCACTAATCTTCTGTTTAGAAGCAACTAAACCAAGTTGACATTAAATGTAGAAAATATAATTGCTACATGTAAACAAATCGCAAAACACAACCGATTAATACGATAGCTATTCTAATTGTGTGTAGTTTGCCCAGGTCTATAACTTACCACAGCATCCATGCAGTAGTCGTGAACCTTCCAGCTGTCACCGAAGGTGTTGGCCATGGTAACGGGGGGTCCGCCCATGGGGGTGGTGAAGTCATCCATCTGGTTACCGTTGAAGTTACCACACAGACCCTCGACCTGGGGAAGACAGGCGTTCAGTTGTTAGCTGTTTTCTATTCATTTATTTGTTTGTTTCAGGCTCTCACTGGCCCATAGATAGACATGTTAAAAACAAACATCTGACCGGCAATAAAGGTTCTAGGCAGGTTCAATATTATGCGAAAACAGTTATTGTAAACAATGTGACATTTGGATAATACACTTGATCGAAAGGAATTCAAGGTGCTGAGCACCAAATGTTTTGAGCAATAAAATGAGAAGAAAGTTATCTTAACAGATATTGAGCAAAGAGCTGTGAACTTTGTTTCTTAGTCCCAACAATTCGTCTATCAGATTCCATATTCGATTTGAATACGCATATGCAACAGTCTTAAATTATGTTCACTGCTAATTACAGATAGAACTCAATCGCACACGGTACAATGTATCACAACAACTATTGTCCAAGAATAAGAGAGGGTGCATTAGATAATATATTAGATAGAGCTGGTGCGTTACAGTTACTAAAACCAAACGTACATATCCCTTCCACGCCGGCACGAGCTTGATGTACACGCGGGTTCCCTTGTCCCACTGCAGCGTCAGACCGATCGGTGTGCTGACGAACACGAACATGCCGGCCTGCCGGATGGTGAAGTCCGTCCCGTCGGCGGTGATCGGCTGGCCACGGACCAGGGAGAGCCTCTGCCTGCTGGCGCCGCTGCCCAGCGTCACGATGATGTTCTGTTCCGAATAAGTGAAGACAATATGTATATAATGGCGACGGCATGCAGAATGAAACTAGAAAAATAACATTTGCAAATCAAATGCATCATGTTTACCTTCGGATATGGTCTGCTCTGTTAATTCTTACTCAAACACATTCACATACAAGTACATGTATATGGTGACAGGAGCCTAAATGCCTACCATGAAATTGCAACATTGTATATAACCCAACACCAGTTACTATCGTGCCAGACGTCAACAAAAGAGGCCATTGGTCAGGTCAGAGGTTAGTGTTTGGAACAGAAGAAGAGGAAGAAGAAATGAAGCAAAAACAAGATGTTTTCCTTCGGTAAACATAACTAGCTGCGCACTGCATTAGACATCCTGATATTAGAGTGTCCAGGCTACTCCTTTGGGAACACGCAAAGAATTCGAGACCTGGGCTTAACTTCATTGACAACCTCAAATCAGACACCAGCTTAACAGAAGTAAAGGAAATCCAATCTCTGATGAAGTATAGAGTAAAGTGGAGAACGCTTTCAAGTTTGGTTCCAGCGGGAACTTCGCTAAACCAGAGCTTGGCGAAGACACAAGAAAAATCGGGAAGTTAGTTCCTATCTGGAATGGATAGAAAACGTAAGATATCTGAGTTTGGATTGTCGCTCATGACAAAAGAAAAGTTGTTGTCACCTTGGTGCAGGTGACGCCGCTTGTTCCACAGGGGATGTTCTCGGCAGTGACGGAGAACGGAAGAGAGGCACCGTCCTTGCTCTTGGCCAAGACGTAGTCACAGTCTCCTTGGAACTCGTACATCTTCCCGTCAAACGTCTTGTAGTGAGGATCTCCGAACGTCGTGCAGATTCCTGAAGTCAATAGGTGGGCAATGTCGTAAGTTGTAGAAAACAGTTATCTATCAGTTTAGTTTGTGCCTTCGTACATCATACTTGCTATCAATATGTATATAAACAAGAATCTGCAATAAACGTCTCTTTAAAGTAAATGCCATAGATAAAACCTGCAACTGTAAACTTTATTTGCTTTCTGCCTCATATGGGCCATGGCACATACAACATATATACAACATACATGTAAAAAAGAACTTAAAAGTTAAATAAAGAAACTTAAACAAAGTAACTGCACACAATCTAAAATCATTCAACAAAACAAGTCAACTAAATTAACAACATATATAAGGACACCAATAACTGAACATTCTGAACATAAAACAAATTCATAACTCAATATGCAACCTATAAATTAATACAAGACAACGTATAACGTAAGATACAAATCAACAATAAAACAAACAGTAGAAACAGGTTGCAACGTAAAATGTAAATCATTAAAATAACAACAGAGGAACACACGTTAGGTAGATAAGGACGACGAGGACTGTAGGTGTTGCACAATAGATATATTGCATACAGAGATACCATAAGGTATCTCTGTAGCTTGTAGCTTAAGTAGTAAGTACAAACCTGCGCATTCGTTGACTTCACACACCCACTGTTGCCCGTTGCAGAAGCTGGAAGGAACATGAAAGTGTTGACGTTATCAATATTGTATTCACTGCCTTTTTAGATTTTTCTTCTTTTGTTATTCTATCCAGAAGACGAGTTATAGGTATTTCAGAAGCCATCATATATATCTTCCAAACCATTGGCCGGCTCTGTAGGGTCCATACACCTAGTGGACAAGCGACGTAATGTTCACATTTCTTTGTTTAAAAAAACAACAAACTGATGCTCCTACCAGCTCGTCTCTTCAGATATACATCGTACTAAATGTAACATATCGTGTGGTTCAGATATCTGAACAAGTGCCCGTCCCAGTGTAGATATGACTGTTTTATTACAGTTGACACCTTGCAGCCAGAATTACGTACAACTTACAAAATGTCTCTAACTGAATCACATCCAAATTAAAAGTGTTACACAAGTTACGAATGTTGGAAACTAGTTTTGCGATAAATCCATATATGATCATTTTCTTTAAACACTATTTCAATTTTAAGAGCAGACAACAACAGCAATATCGATTAGTTCTAACATTATCAAAGGAAGACATTTTTAAGTATATTATATCATGTACAAATATAGACGTCATCAATGAAGTATGTAAGTATATTTCAAAATGTTTCAAAAAGAGAGAAGAAGCCATTAGAACTTAGATCAATACCACTTATATATATATTTCTTTTTTTTAATTTTATTTTTAGCATTGTATACCTCAGACCTAATGTTAGCCTTTCTTTATTACTATTGTTGTAGTACTCTCTAGTACATTGTACTTTGTACATCCATGCATTTATCCCCCCGGGGAATGAACATGCAATAAAGTTTCAATAAATTCTAAATTCTAAAATCTAAAATACTACTCACAACCATCTCTCCTTGAGGAATACCTACCAGGTGTTACAGTCCAGTTGGATGGTGTGACTTTGCTCGTAACTCTGACCACCGTGGTAACACGGGCAGTTCTGCGGCATCACGCATGCGCCCTTCTCCTCGTCCCACACGGTGTCGTTCCTACACTGACAGCCGGCGTGGCACGTGACCGGGGCCTGTGACGTCACGCCCAGGTGCATGTTCTTACAGGTGATCTGGTTCTCCACGACGCAGTTGGACCAGATCTGGTTGTCGGGGCAGAGTGCGGGGGAGTCCGGTAAGCACGCCATCTCCGTGCAGGCCCACTGGCCCTTAGAACACATGCTGTACGGTAGAAAAACAATGTGCGTCGATTAGGTTAATACAGAATGGCAATCGGGATGTATAGTTAAAATGTTTTTCTTTCAGAAACCGGTTCCTCAGAAAAGAACGGCTTGGGCCAACAGCACCATCCAGTATAAATAAAGAGGCTTAAGATGAATTCAGTGTACTGGTCATTTTATGTGCTGTATCCAACAGTATCAATATATTATGTAGAGCAGGAACCTCATATTCCGCCTGGTTAACACAAAGCTATTCACATTTCAAAACAGCGCCATGAGACCATACTCTCATTGAAGTCTTACTTGTGCTATTCATTTTTTTATTGAAATTGCGACAGCAATACAAAGGAATTCCCTGGCAGCCCAGCCGATATCGGGTGCCTTAACATAACTGGACATAACATACATGAATAAGTGTTCATAATATAATAGAATCAAGAACTAAAATTACAGTTGATGCGTACCATGTGTTGCAGCCCCGGTTGATGGAGGCTCCGTCCAGGTAGTGTTTCCCGTTCTCCATGCAGCCGCACTCCTCGGGAGGTACGCAGTGCCCCTCGTAGTCCAGGACGGTTCCCTCCGGACAGGCGCACCCCTCCACACAGAACGGCTCGCACTCCACTCCCTCCAGTATGGACGCGCAGGTGGTCTGACACCCGGGGTGGCACTGGTCGTACACCAGCTCTCCGGAACACGACACCTCTGAAGGAGGCGGGAAGCGAAGGTAAGACGGGGAGTCAGAATACCATCAACAGCATATACAGTGGAAGGGTTGCAAACCATGTGCTCGAGAAGGTTACGTATTATGTACACCATATCTGGGGGTGGCGATTTTTAATAGTTTTTAAGGAGAGTGGTTCATGTATCATGATATTTGGTAGGTAGGTTGGGGTTTGAAGACCTATACCGTATTATAGAAAACCCAACACATTACAAACGACGAAGGTATGAGATCTGTGAGTTCTAGTTAATGGGTTGAGTAAAATCTATGAGTTTTTTAAAGTTTTTTTATTTGTCACTGTTTATGTCGAAACGTATTTCAGATATGGTGTACCTAATACATAACATTCTCGACGAAGGTAAATAACATACTGTGGCGATATGAAGCTACTTGGAGTAGTCTATTTCTGTTTAATGTCCGTTAACTCACCGCATCCTTCTGTGTTCTGCCGCCAGTCCAGCTCGACTCCCTTGGCGCCACAGGCCAGTGAGTAGTCGGACATGGCGTCACACATGCTCTGTATGGCGTGTCCGCTGCCGCAGTAATCAAACATGCACCTGTCGTAAGACTCCTGCGGGTTCACGTACTGGTGACAGGCTGGAGGTGAGAGGAAAAAACAGGGTTTCAGTTTGAGAAGCACGGCGTCGGAGTCTTATATCGATGTACTCGTTTGTTTGTCGACTTTTAGGGTCTAGTAATTTCATCATTAAGATGCTACTCCGTTCGGGGATCTTCTCTTGC